GAAGAAGGAGAAGGAAAAGAAGAAGAAGAAAGAAAGAAGACTGACAACAGATATTAGCTCAGGCACCAATCTTTAAAAAAAATCAATTGAAGTTATCTTTTAAAAATTCTTCTTTTTAGATTCTTTTAAATTTTTTCCCATTTCCTCATTACAACAGATCATTTAGTAAAAAATTATAAGTATAAAATACTATTTTTGATTACATTAGACACTGTCAACTATGAAACATGGAACATAAATGAAGCTTATTATAAGCTAAGCATGAAAATAGAAACATTTTAACTTGGAAAATCATGGGGAAATTCTATTTTTATAGCAAAACCTGCATGCCAAATCAAATAGCTGCTAATTCTGTATTTTAAATATAATATCAAGTTATTGGTAGGGTTATCCTAATATGCTTTTAATATATACAGTAGTCTTTATTTTTCTATTCCTATAAAATGGATTCTCTATAAGAAGTAGCACTGTTAAATAATAAGACACTAATTTCATTTGTCACATATGAAAACCAGTACTACTGTTTTCTAATCATCTAGATAATAATGGCATAATGAATGGCTTACCCAATATCTCCAATTAAACATAATTCCTATTGTCTATCAGCTACTAATTTACTCCTATTTTCCAGACATTTGACAAACTTCTTCCTTTTCTAATTCCTATTCCTTGTAGATTTACTTGCCTACTTAAAATTGACACCTCTGGTATTTCAACCTGTTTTTTTCCACTATTTTTATTTACCTTGAGCGCCAGAAGATCCTCTACTGTACAGTTTTTATCAAGAGAAATTGACTTTCCAATCATCTCCTGGAGAGCTTCCCAATGCCTTGGCTTGAGACAGGGGTTTCCTAGAGCTGTGATGATAGGCAGCTCTTGTTTAAAATCTTTCACTGATTCCTTAAGACGTGTTACCATGTCGTTTCTAGGTAAACCTATAAAGCAGCAGTGGGTCAGTAGGCTTATGATATCTTCATCATATTTTTAAAACCAGAAAATAAATTTGCGGTTTAATGTAATATTACTTTATCAGTTATTAGCCTGCACTAAATTAATGAGTTTTATTAATATCACCCTCCCCTAAGAATCAACTACAAAATAAAGAGGAATAGTTATCAGGACTGGTGGTTAAAACTCAAGACCATCAGAGTCAAGTTATCTTGGAAAGTTTGATACTAGGGATAGCAAGCTCCCACATGGTTTCCCAGATTTTCACTGAGAAGACTGATATACAGACAGATGGGTACACACATACACATTCAAAAGACTAGGCTTTTAAATTCTGCTCAGTAAGGAAGAACATCAAAGGAAAAAATGTCACCATCATTTCACAAAGAAAATATTTTAATACTGAAATGTAGTAAAGGTAGGTAAAAACTTTGCCATAGACCAGCACTAGTCTGTCCTCTGGCACTGACAAACCATTGAGGAAGAGGACTCAAAATCTATGCAGTTGAAGCTTCAACTCTTACCACCTTTTTATTCAACTTATAAAAGAAAGCGGGAGGGGCAGAGGAATAGCCAAAGTTGGGAACTCAGGAGAACTGAAAACTATCCCATATTCTTGAATACCCAGTTTGTATAGATGGGGCTTCTATTATAAAACCATGTCAAATAACAAAATGTTTTTGAAGATCTGGTTAAATAAAAAGACAAGAAAATAACTGGTTTCTGCAAGTCTACGCTTTGGCAAATAGCAAGATTTTATATGGGAAATGATGATTAAACGAAGGTATTGTCTACTTGTTTCTTCATACACTGTTCTCCAAAACAGACATAGGACAAAATATTGAGAGAAAATGCACAAACGAGTGTTATGTTAAAGCACTGAGACTGTGGGTAATTTGTCCCTAATTTTTCTCTTTTCTAAACTTTTCTAAGAGGAAACTTTTTTTGGAGAGGAAATTGTAGCTTGAAGGAGAGCTGAGAGAAAAGGGAGGTGTTTAAAAAGGAAAAACATTCTCTGCCAGGAGGAAGCAAACCTTGCTTTTGGAAAGGATATGATCTTAGAGAACTGCTCACACAGGACAGCATCTCTGCGTTGGCAAGATTTCAAATTTGATGATCAGCAGAAGGGAAACTTCTCAAAATGACTTCTTAGCTGTTTCCCCCCTGCCCAAAGGATACTATAAGCATACCCAGTGAGGATTTGGGAAAAGATTCTGCACGTAGGCCCTTATCATCTAAACATCTCTGGCCCTTAGAAGAGGCAGAATCATCGTGAAGTGTCTAGGGTTCTACCTAGGGAACCAACTTTTAAAGGATACAAAAACTGTTATTAATTACTTAAAAAATTTTTTTGCAAATCTCTCTCTTGCCTCAGGAAATGATTCTTACCTATACTCCAATACGGTCTCTCCAGGTATTAATGGTCAACCCTTGGGAACAGGTAAAGAAACAAGGCCAAGGACAGTGAACTTGCTGGCCCAGAGGACAATTTGTGTGTAATCCTAGGTGGGGAAACTTGAGAAAGACACTTTTACCTTTTTCTAGTATAAAGATTATGTGCATCCATTTTGAAACACTTCTCTGTACTGATTCTATGTCAATCCTATGAAGAGTACTACTCCTCCATTCCCAAAAGAGTGTTCCCCATTCCTCTTGTGCATCCCATAATAGTTTCCTCAAGGTTAAGTCATATTCAATGTCAGAGACGTCAGAAAGCACAATCTGTGTAATCTCTTCCATATTAAGAGAACACATTTGAGATTGGGCATCATGGAAAGAATCCTGGTAGTTTGAATATGTTCTAGCTTTGTTAGCTAAACTTGTGGCTTCCTCTGAGAGAGTGTGGATCATTTCCATTGCTGTTGACACTTGTGTACCAGCACATAACAGAACAGGAGTTCTTATCTACAAAATAACAGTAAGACAGTCTAAGAGATCATAACATTCAGAACTTAAACATGTTTATTGAGCATTTCAGTATGTAATCTAAGCCTTAAGAAACATTATTGCCATCATCATCTGAAAAGATTGTCCTAATTTATTTGTGTTTATGATTAATTTAAATTATTTGATGATTATTGCCACCATATCTATAATTTATTGTGTACTTTCTCTATGTCAGACACTGTGGTAACATATTACCTAATTTACTAAATCCATACAACAATCTTGAAAGATAGTTAATATTTTTCCCAATTTTTCAAGGAAGTTCTGAGGTTATAAATCATTTTCCCATCATCATATGCTTACCATGGAGGTTCCAAAGTATGGCTCTATGGCAGCCTAACTCCAAAACTCACTGCCTTTTTCTGATTCTGTTAAACTTGGTATTATTTTTATGATGCTTGTCACATGCTGCCTTGTATTTGAGTTTTACTGTTACATGAAATTGTGGACATTTGCAACAATGATCTACAAAGAGGGTTATAAGTAAAATTTTGCCCTGACTTCTCTCCTACTAAATGTTTATAATTTATCCTTCTCAAGATTAAGAATAGTTTCATTAATTTATTTTTGTACATCTCTTAGAACCCAGTACACCAAAATGTACAAAGGAGTTGTTTATTAAAAAGTTGTTGAGGTGCTGGCCCCGTGGCCGAGGGGTTAAGTTCACGCGCTCTGCTGCAGGTGGCCCAGTGTTTTGTTGGTTTGAATCCTGGGTGCAGACATGGCACTGCTCATCAAGTCACACTGAGGCAGCATCCCACACGCCACAACTAGAAGGACTCACAACGAAGAATATACAACTATGTACTGGGGGGCTTTGGGGAGAAAAAGGAAAAAAAAAGTTGTTGAAAGAATAAATGAATTTGGATTCTATTACCTTATTTTTCAAAAAATCCAACCCATGGAATTATGTAACATTGTGTTACATGTAGTGTGGTCATCCAATAACCACTGATTACAATCATAACACGATAAGCTGTATAAAATTGATAAACAGTATCTGTGATAACGGATAGGGCTTAATGTATAATCTGTAATAGTGATGCCTATATAATGGACATATAATACAATTTTCCTTATGCTTCTCCCATAATATCCCATGCATTAATATTTATTTATGTTTGTAAATGAGCCATCTTAAGAGAGAGGGGATACAATTGGAGAAATACTCTTACTAGCTTAGATGGTGTCAAGGTAAAGTTAAGCCAATCCTATCAGCAGTCTTCAAACTGAGATCTTCACAGAATGATCTCAGCCATCAAGTATATAAATGAAATAGTTTGAAAGGTTATACAATTGAAGTCAGAAGATGAAATAAATATGCCCCACTCTGTCTCTCCCAATGAATACAGCTATAAACCCTTGACAGAATACATGAAGGAATCTGAAAGTAAATCGTAGAAGGCACATTGGGGAAGAAGATGGTAATTTGAAGTGCCACCACATTAGCAGTGAACTTACCATTTTTTCTTTCCACATTCCCTGAGCTAAGCTCATTGTACAGAACCCGAGAAGAAGTTTCAGCAGGCACAAACCGTGAGAACTCCAGGAGAACCTACTAGTCCTGACTTGAGAGCAAGAAAGGTTCTGACAAAGATTCTTTGCTTAACCAAAGCACGTTGGCTTCTGAACCTTCTCCTAGGTTTATCTGTGAACTTTCTTTTAAAATTTGTTTTAGTAAGAACCCTGCTAAATTAGTTTAATCAGAACCCCCACCCTCAGTGTCTGATCAGCTTCCTCATCTTCCACCATCCCCAGGTGATGTCTGGTTGCCCTGGCCTGTCTTTAGCAAGAAACCTGTTGGGTAGGTTTAGCCAGAACCCTTCTTACCTGTGATGTTTCCTCTTAGTAATTTGCCATCCACTGACTACCTCCCTACTCCTTGGCTATAAATTTCCACTTGTCCTTACTGTATTTGGAATTGAGCCTAGTTTTATCCTGAGATCTCTCTTCCCCTATGCAACAGTCCCGAATAAAAATCTGTTCTTACTGCTTTGACTACTGTACAACTCTGGTTTTTCTTTGACAGTTCCTAAATGCTCAAGGTGTAGAAGACCCCCCTTCACTCTCTCTCTCTCTCTTTATTCTGTTCTCTCACACTCCAGCCCTCAAGCAACTCCAAGGTGGTGGTAGGAGCTGGTGGCAATGAAAGCCTCAGGAGCTGAAACTCAAGAGAGAAGAACTCTACCCTCTGTTCTGGTGAGCTGTGGTTCCAAGGAGGGTCAACCCTGTTGATTTTTTTCTCTCTGTGTTCTGCTGCTTTGCCCCAGATGTGGGTGCAGTTACGGAAGTGGACAGCACAGCACAGTAACAAGCCCTAGCCTTCTAACCAGAGGACTGAAAAGAAGAGTGCCAGGAATCTAAAATACTGGGAAGACTGTAGAGAGAACGATGCTCTGGAAAGCAGCCAGTCTGGAAAGCGACAGCATAAGGGTGTTTATGAACTCCTGGGCTCACCTGAGCTGCACACACATGAATCTGATCCTATTCAGTATATCAAAGACTTTGAGACTAAACTAACAGACCACTACGAGACTGACCACTGGACGGCACACACTTGGTATAAATCTGAATAGCACTGCAAAGGCTTTGACAACTGAAATGATGATGGAACCACAGCCCAAATAAAGTGGGCTGGAACTTCGGACCTGAACCTAACTAGGTAAACTGCCTTCTAAAACAAAAATATCAACATTCTTTGGGATTTAAATAAGACATAGAGTCTTATAACACAACATTTAATCCAAAATATGTAATACAAAATTACTCAGTATACAAAAATATCAGGAAAACTTCAACTTGCATAGGAAAAGATAATCAACAGATACCAATACCTGATGATACAGTTGTTAGAATTATATGACAAAGAATTTAAAGTAGGTATTATAAAAATGCTACACCAAAAATGGTGAATACTCTTGAAACCAGTGGGAAAATAGAAAGTCTTAGCAAAGAAAAATAAAAAGACATAAAGAAGAACCAAATGGAAATTTTAGAACTGAAAAACATAAACAAAAATAAAAGCTCACCAGATTTGGCTCAGTTGCAGGGTGGAAATGATAGAGGAAAGAATCAGTGAACTTGAAGATGGATGCTTAACTTGCATAGCTGAGTCCCACCCCAGCAATTGCCCTTGGCTGAAAAGAGCTAAGTCATCCAAGATTACACCCCCTCTGCAGGTCCATGGTGGAGGTATAAAGGCCCAGCCCTCTTGCCTGCATTCAGGATAACTCTGCAGAGTCATCCCAGTTCTACAGATTTCCATAGGATCCTTTGAATCCTTTGTGGCAATCACACTACAGTTCCACTTCTCCCTCTGTCCAGTCTTGATTCCCTCAGTCTCTCACATTGTTGCCACAAGCACTCGCCAATAAACAATGCAACACAGATCTCCATTTCAGTCAGTGTCCAACCTAATACACTTAACAAATATCAATAGGGTGAACTAGAAACATTCATGTGTGTGTGTCTGTAAATTTCTAGTAGTATGTTAAAGACTGTAATCGGATATGTGCATCAAGTACTTTGATATGACTATTTTTCATCTTCATTCTGTGTGAAACAGTGTAGATCAACTGTATAGACAGGGAAATTGAAAAAACGATTAATTGCAACAAATAACACAGTGCCTAATGCATATTAGATACCCAAAATATATTGAATGAATATGATAACTTGTAATGGTGATGAGGACAGAGGGATGGTGAGAAGCAAGGTTTCTGGAGCACTGGGTCTCACTTGCTGTGTGATCTTAAGCAAGTTACTGAACCTCTTTAAATCTCAGGGGGTTTCTGTCTTTCTGTTTTCAGGTAGATGCAAGGCATCTGGCATAGTTACGACACGTGGTACAGGCTCAGTCAATGTTAGGCGCTTATTGTAGAGTTTGCTCCTCATGATAGGTGAGTGAGGTTGGAACCATCACTACCACCTGGCCTAGCCTAAGGCCCAGAAAGGTTTCAGGGTTCTCAGCCCTTTTTATGCTCTGGACCCCCTTTGGCAGACTTTTGAAGTCTGGAAAAAGTCACCAGCTTTGCTGTTGTTTGTTGTCTACATTCATTCATATTTGAAGAAAATGCTAAATTTCAGCTACGTTAGTGAAAACACACATGTAAATTTACTTCCCATTCAAATTCCAAATCACTCAAATTCTGTCTGTGGATTCCAGGTTAAGAATACTTGGGTTAAATGATTTACCTTGAGTTCACAGAAAGAAAATACCTACAGGCTTAGACTTATAAGAGACTAAGATCAAGCTGATTTTTTTTTAATTTTTTTTTTTCCTTTTTCTCCCCAAAGCCCCCCGGTACACAGTTGTATATTCTTAGTTGTGGGTCCTTCTAGTTGTGGCATGTGGGACGCCACCTCAACGTGGCTTGATGAGCGGTACCATGTCCGCACCCAGGATTCGAACCCACAAAACACTGGGCTACCTGTAGCGGAGCACGCGAACATCACCACTCGGCCGCAGGGCCGGCCCCTTAAACTGATTTTTAATGGAAAATGCAAACTTACTTTGGCTTTTAAATCCGCAAGGTCCCCCCGCAGACCCATGATGCACGCCTCCAGATTGTCTCTGAATTTAGTAATGGCAGCGTCTCGGTTTGTTTTACTCAACTTCATAGAAGTTTTTAGTTGACCAAACTTCATAAGAAGGATTTTATATATGGCAACTTGCTCTTCTGAAATATAGATCTGGTAATACCTCACAACAGAATACAGCTGAGCAATCGTGGTGTACTCTTTTTCTAATTTACATATGTCTGAGGAAATCGCATCCAAAAAATTAAAATATTCTACAAATTCTTCTATTTCGGTGGGGTCACATTCCAGCTTTTGCAATGATGATTCTACAACCTGAAATTATTAACATGTCAATTATAATTATATACTGATTTTTCACTATCTTAGAAGACTAATTATTCTTTTTAATATCTGACTATCTTACATAATTATAATTTCAGAAAACAATGAAGACATCATCTAGACTATTGTTTAAATACTAGGGCATTAACATGATCCAATCCTTTTTACTGTTAACAGAACGAACTTGAATGTTCTTTACACATAAAATAAATGCTACTAAGGCATAAAAGAAGTACTGTTATGAATAATTTTGTTTATAAGAAATAAATGTAATAGCAATAGCAAGGGTATGACTGAAATGTGAACAGTGCATAATAAGTGCAACCACTTTTTGAGCATTTCTCTGCTGGGTTCTTTATATACATGATCTCACCTTGTTTTGAAAGCATGTTTGCTAATTATATGATTTTCTCTAGTTTGCACAGGAGGAAACTGAGTTTCAGAAGGATTAATCTGCCTAAGATCAGAAATTTAGTGGCTTACAGAGCTATGATTCAAACCCAAACTGGATTCCAAATCCTGTTTATATCCATTATAAGTATATGTATTCAATATAAGTATGTGTATAACATCCATACTTTTTATAAGCATATGTATATAAGTCCACAAAATTTTCAAAATAATTGCATTTCTATACTCAAATTTCACTTTTATCATATTGTTTCCTCATGTTTCAAGGGCTCTTAATGATACTGATGCATAATTTTGGAATCAGTGTCACCTCAATTTTCAATTTCACAGTCTTGAATTAATTGCCTGTATATGTCTCTACGTTTTCAAACACTTTATTCTATTTGATTATAAAAGTAATAGATATTCATGCAAAAACTGTAATACAAAAAATGTTTAAAAAACCTATTATTCCATCACCCAGTGATAACTACTGTTAACCCATCAGAAATTTCACTATGGGAGGTGTGGGGTTGTGTGTGTATGCATGAACACACTCTTACAGACACACTTTTGTCACAGAATTCATATGACCAGGCTTTAAAATCAGAGAGGCTAGTGTTTGAATCTCAGCTCCGCTATTTACTAACTGTGTGAACCTAAGCGGTTTGGTTTACTTTCTTCTTTCTTCTTCTTCTTCTTTTTTTGAGGAAGATTAGCCCTGACCTTAGTGCTGCCAGTCTTCCTTCCCTGGCCCTGAGCTAACATCCACACCCATCTTCCTCCACTTTATATGTGGGACGCCTACCACAGCATAGCTTGCCAAGTGGTGCCATGTCCTCACCCCGGATTTGAACTGGTGACCCCCGGGCTGCCAAAGCGGGAACGTGCACATTTAACCGCTGTGCCACCGGGCTGGCCCCTGCTTTACTTTATAAACTTGGTGTCCTCGTCTGTAGTTTTGAGGATCAAATAAAATAATGGTGCCTGCCACATGTGATAGAAAATGATCAAAACAGACGACTGAGTAAACACAACTATCTTAACCCCAACTACAAATCCCAATTAAATTCTGGAAAAAAATATTTTAAAATATGGATCCATATCACAAAGAAAACTGGTAATTCCAATTTTGCGAAATAGAGAGAGTAGAAAAAGTTGAAATATACTCAAACTTCCTTTGTCACTAGTACTACATTGATACCAAATACAGATAAAGGATGGTAAAAGAGAGAAAATCACAGGCCGATTTCACTTGCAAGCGTAAGTGCAAAAATCTTAAAAATAACATATACGTATGCGCATGCGGGAAGCTAAATCTCTCAATCTGGATGTGAGATAACCTTAGACAGTCAATTAATGTAACTACTCACATGAAAAGGTTAAATGAAAACAACTGCATGATTATCTCATTAAATGCAGAATAAGCATTTGATAAAATTCATTTGGGATTTAAAAAACTATCAAATTAGGAACTCATCAAAATAAGAGAATTTCCTTAACCACATAAAAGGAAGTTACCAAAAGCCTCAGGAGATACAAACACACCTGGGGACATGCAGCAGCCAGAGAGAGGACGAATAAAGGGAACTTTCACAACAGGTCCCTAAAAACTTAGAGCTCAGAAACAGCTTTCTGGAACTAAAAACCATGGTTCTTCTGACTGTAGAAATTTGGCTCATAGGAACTCACACATACATAGTGTTCACTACGTGCCAGAAAGTGTTTAAGAGCTGTACAATCATTGACTCATTTAATTCCCACATCCACCCTAGGTTAGTTACTAATATTATCCCCAATTTACAGATAAAGAAACTGAGGTACAGAGAGGATAAGGATTAACTAAGTTTTTCAAATAGCAAATGGAAGAGCCAGGATTAATAAAAAAAGTCAATTGCATCGAAGCATAATTTACATTAAAAATGTTAATTGTACATTATGGTGATATGGTGAGTTTTAACACATTTATACACCTGTGTAATTACCTCCATAATCAAAATACAGAAAACTTGCATTGCCCTGGAAAGATCCCTTGTGCCCCATCCCAAAGTCTCCTCCCATCCCTGCCTCAGAAGGCCACCTGTCTGTCGTTGCTGCTGCAGATTAAATCTGTATTTGCCAAGTTTGATATATATGGAATCATATAGTAGGACTCCTTTGGCTACTTTTGCTCAACATGGTTTCGAGATTCAAGTTGTTGTGTGTAGCAGGATCCCATTCCTTTTTATTGCTGAATAATATTCCAATGCATTAATATTCCAATATTTTATCTATTCACCTTTTGATAGACATTTGGATTGTTTCCAGGTTTTGGGACTTGTGAAGTAAAGCTTCTTTGACTATTTGAGTACAAGTCTTTGTGTGGCTTTGTTTTAATTTCTTGTACGTAAATGATGTGGAGTGGGACTGCTGTGTTGAATAGTAAGTGAAAATTTAACTTATAAGAAATGGCCAGTTTTCCAAAGTGGCTGTACCATTCTGCTTTCTCACCAGCAATGTATGAAAGTTCTTGTTCCTCCACATCTTAGTCAGCACTTGCTTTGTCAGTCTTTTTAATTTTAGCCACTTTCAATGGATGTGTAGTGGGATCTCATTGCAGTTTTGATGTGCATTTCCCTGATGACTGATATTTAGCATATTTTGTACTTATTGGCCATCTTCTTTTGTGAAGTGTCTGTTCAGACGTTTTGCCCATTTTTTGTTGAGTGGTTTATTATTTTTACTGAGTGTTTTGACTTTTATAAGTTTATCTATTCTGGATACCAATCCCGTGTTAGATGTACATACAGTAACGTGTCACTTAATGACAGGGATACATTCTGAGAAACATGTCATCAGGCAATTTTTGTCATTGTGTGAACATCATAGAGTACATTGAAGGGGAACAAAATTTGCCACCCCAAAATGTGTCTCTTGAACTTGAGGATTATTTTAGACTGATTTTTTTTAAGAAACAAAAGACTCAGAAAGTTTTTCTTGTTACCTCTCCCTTAACTGCCTAAAAGAATTCAGATAAATAAACCTGTCTCAGGAAGCAAGCATAACCTTAGCATCACATTAACTAGGTGGCAGACAGGGAGGAGCCTGGAAAAGCCTGTTGTTGTGCTCCCCTCTGTGTTCTGTTTCTCTGTGCAGCCAAACACTTGTTTCCCAAACATTCGCTCCTTTTCACCTACATGTGAATTGCTTTCCTTCCCTTTGAAGTCCCTGACTCTGCCACCTCCAACATCTTTTGTCTTTCTCTGAGGACGGTATTTAAAGTGAGGGTTTCAGCCATTTTAGTGAGTCACTTGGTTTTCCTGAATTTCTCCCATGTAATTAAACTTTTGTTTGTTTTTCCCGTTAATCTGTCTCACATCAATTTAATTCTTAGACCATGCAGAAGAGTCTACAAGGGTAGAAGAAAATTTCTTCCTCCCTCACAGCACTTACACAAACCTAGGTGGCACAGCCTACTACACACCTAGGCTACTTGGCACTAATCTTATGGGACCACCATTGTATATGCAGTCCATCATTGACCAAAAGGTTGTTTTGTAGCACACGACTGTATTCCAAAGGTTTTTCTCTTTTTAAAGATGTTATTGCATTGTCTTTTGTGTGCATAATTTCTCAAAAGTCTGTGATATTTTTTTCTGTTTCTTATCCTTTACCTATCTTTTTTTCTTAATGCTTTTAAGATTTTCTATTTATCACTGGCTTTCAGTAACTTGATTATGCTCTTGCTGTTTTCTATGTTTCGATTTCATTGAGTTTCTCAAATCTTTTGGTTTATACTTTTCATAAAATTTGGAAATTATTTCATTTTTCTTCAGATATTTTTTCTGTCCCTCCCTCTCTCTTTTCCTTGTGAAACTACAATTACACATATGATAGACCTCTTGGTATTATTCCACCGGCCACTGAGGCTATGTTTCTGTTTTGTTTCTTAGTCTTTTTCCCTCTCTGTGCTCCTTTTGTGATAGATTGTATTGCTATTTCTTCAAGTTCAGATTTTTCTCCTGTAGTGTCTAATCTGCTATTAATCTCATGAAGTAAAATTTCCATTAAAGATATTGTATTTTCATCTTTTT